AAATCTCTCTCTCTCAAAAAAAGATAGATTAGAAATTAGCCTGTGGTCTGGTGGCTAGGGCAGCTGGATCTCACATGATTGACTGCATGATTTGAGTCCCAGACCTGGAGGCTTTAAAATCATGTCAGGCACATGTGCATGCATGCTTAAAATCCTAAGAGGATAAAAGATTACAGTGTGGCCATCCCCCTGGGGCAGGAGAGGTGCACTATCTCACTTTCTCTGTCTCTCTTCAGTGAGCACACATGCCCTATAACCAAAACAAAACCAAAAATGATTAGGATTCTAGTATTGGAGATCAGCTGCAAGACTCAGGTCTAGAAAATAAATGAGGAGGAGAAAGGTATATATACAAATGTATAATCAAAGGTGTATACGCATACCCAAATATGTATCAATGTAAGTGTACAAATGCGTGTGAGTGTGTATGCGTTTGGGGGCGCGGGGGTGCGTGAGCTCCCTGAGAGCACGGCCCTGGCAGTCTTACCCAGGGTGTATCTCCCACTCCTAGCACAGTGCCTGGCACAGAGTCAGTGCTCAAACCCTAAGTATTTCTGGGTTACATTAATAACCGGGGGGATTGCTCCACTGGTTTCTTTTTGCTGTCTTTTCAGCCCTGTCTCTTAGCAGTTCCCGTGAGCTTCTATAGAAATTCATATTCACAGTTAAAATAACCATCACGTGCATGTAAGGAAGTGTGTTTGTCCAATATCTGACCCGCCATCTGTATGTTGAATGCCCTTTTGAACGTATGCCTCTGAAACCTGTCTCTAGTGCCCACTTATGCTCATTTCAGATCCTTCTTTCTCTGTATTTCATTTCTGTTCTTTCTATCCCCGACATTTATTTTCCTATTTTTAAATTATTTCTCACTAAAGGGGCTTGGAATTTGTGTTGGAGTCAAAGTTTTCACTGCTGCTAAAAATAAGTACTGAAACGTATCACCAAAGTACAGTTGCCTGGTGGGGAGGGATTGCCGCACAGAACACTCCTCCGTAACATTGGTTTGGGTAGTTACAGGTAAACTCTGGGTGGTTTATGGAAAAATAGTCTAGCCCAGCAGGTGCTAACAGTGAGAACTCTTGAGTCTGTCTTGAGTGAGAAGGAAAGCCACCGCAGGTTTGGAGTGACATGATCCGGGTGGCAGGTGCTCTGCTGAGGGGAAGCTTCTTGCTCTAGGAACATGAAAAGCTGAGGGGAAGCTTGTTGCTCTAGGAACATGAAAGAGGCACTTCATCCACCCTTCCAGGGTCAGGAGGCTTCTTGAAGGCTGGCCAAGAGACAAGTGTGAAAAAGAGCGAGGAGATTAACTCAACTTAAGGTCCAGAGGTGAGCTCTGGCATGGGGTGCTGATAGGAAATCTGGGATGGTCACTAAGGGCCTTACACACCATGAGGGGATTTCAACTGAATCCTGAGAACAGTGGGGAACCAGCAGAGTTTGATGGAGGGAAGTGACATAATAAATGGCATGTCCTTTATAAAGATTACTCTGACCACTGTGCAGAGGAGGGCCAGACCAGAAGAAGGCGCAAAAGCCGTACAATGGGATCCAGCGGTGCTCACCAACACTTACGTGAAGGGAGCCCTACAGGGATGGGGAAGAGGAGCCAGAATCAGAGAAAGCATAGGAAAGTCAACACACACTTGTGATGGACTGGCCATTGGGAATAAGGAACAGGAAAGGGTCTGACATGACCTCCGGGTCCTTGGGCAAGAAGGTAGCAGCTGCAAACAGTTCCCAAAGTCATGCCAGGGAATGAGGTGACTTGTGGGGAGGTTTATTTTTTATGAGAGTAAAGACCAGGACCAGGCTCATCTGCAGCCTACAGCCCTAGGGAAGGGTCCCTCAGTGTGCTTGACCCTCAGGTGGAAGAAGTGGCACGGTGTGGTCAGCCCTGAACTCTCGGTACCAATTCCAAGACTGTCTGGTTTTGTTGAAGACACTAGGCTTTAAAGAAGGCAGTGAGAGAGTCCATTCTTTGTGCTCATGGATTTGAATTGCATATTTGGATTTCTAAAAATGAGACGTGAAACTGTTAGATCTCAGTATGCCTCATTCTTGAACAGCTTGATTTATGCACATTTGGGGTGCAGGGAACATTGTGTCTGGCCCGATAGGACCGAGTTTTTTTTTTCTGAAAATATTTCATGTGTCTCTTTTGGATCTCGTCTTGCTGTGTTCTATATAAAGATGGTAGCAGCAGGAGGGAGACAGTGTCATTCTGCTGTCCTCAGGGTTCAGACATGGTAATGAACTGCAAGCACCTGGCTGCCGATTCCTGTCTGCCCCCGAATTTGGAGGCAGTAGGGGTAGATTGACAGCTGGGCCGATGAGCAGGCTCGGGTGCCTAGAAATCTGTGCACTCGTTTTAGGTTTAACGACATTAAAGAGTTACCTTTGAGACACTGCAAGGGTGAAATTGTATTAAAATTAGAGGATTTTAGGACCAGCAGATGGCATGGTGGTTGAGGAGCTGGACTTCCATGTGGCCTACTGCGGTTCAAGTCCCAGTCGTACCCTGTGACTTGAAACTTATGCCAGGCACATGTGTGTGCATGCCCCAAATCCCAAGAGAATAGAGAAGGGATTGTGGCATGGCCATCCCCTGGGGGGGGGGGGTTCACTTTCTGTCTTCTCTGTTTCTCTCTCCTGTGAGTACACATGCCCTATAGCAAAAATATCTTGAAAAAAAAAAAAAAAAGACAGGATTTCAATGATCTTTGAGACAAACACCTTCTAGATTTGGATCAGCCACCTAGATTTTTATTAGCTCCCCTTCTCCCCCCGAAACTAGCATCAGACAGATGCAGGAATGGCATATGGAAGAAGACTGACAGATAACAAAGGACATCCATTTCACAGTTTTGATCTGGGTTGGCCTGTCCTCCCCCTCCCACAAGCTGCACTGTAAAATGGGCGACCCGTTTATTGGAAAGGCAAATGGATATGCAAATGCTTTTATTATTTATCGACATAAGACGAAAGGTACTTATCTGATTTTTAATCTGGCACTTTGTTGTGTTAGTTCTATTGTTCAATTTTGTAATTCTTTTTTTCTTTTAGGTTTTTGCCACAGGGTGTGTACGTTTGCTGGAGAGAGAGAGGGAGAGAGGGAGACAGAGAAAGACAGTGAGAGGGATACTGAGAATCACTCCCCCTGTGAGGGATGGCCATGCTGCAATCCCTTCTCCTGGGACTGAGGGCACGTGCGCGCGCGCACACGTAACCAGCATGGTTTTCAAGCCACCGAATCCAGGACTCCAACCACAGTCGACCCTGTGGGAGTCCAGCGCCTTAACCACCACCAGCTACCTACTGGCCTCAAATTTCTGTATTTCTAATCTTTCTGTCTCACTTCAGTTTTTCAGTCTTTACAACCAGGGGGATGAGCTAATATGCCTATCTTTTCACTATTTCGCATCTTTTCAGGATTCTGGGCTATTTATTGTGAAACTTACTGTCAGAGAACTGTGTCAATGATAACTTTTAGCAAGATGGTTAATGATAAACAAATTGCCACTCTCAATAACAGTGTTAACAAGAAAGAACACAAGTGAAATTTGGTGTTTTTCGTTGCTTTTTATGTTTTTTTTTTTAATTGTTTTTTTTTTTTTTAATTTTTGGTGCATATATTTGAAAAAAAGTGTCCAGGAGTGACTTTCTCTTCCTTGATTATGTTTTTAGTAAAGGTGCCAATGGTTGGGATTTGCATAGGATAAAATGTCCAATGAATATTTGGAAATCTTGTCTTTCCCATTTCTGCATTCTGTATCCACAGTAACAAGAATTCTGGGGGTTATAGGAGATTGTTAAGAAAGCAAATTATGGTTCAGTGCAGATGGAGCAGAAACAACCGTCATTGTGTAACATGATCTTCAATATGGAAATGAAAACGTCCTTTTGTGCATAGCCATTAAGTCTAAATATATAAGACCACTTTAGCCACAGAGTTACTCGTTACAGGGGAGCAGACTGAAGGATACCATATTACTATCAGGTGAGGGAGAGCCCTCTAGTGGAAAACTGGCAGGGCAGACCCTGGCGCAGGAAGGACAGTGGAGAAGTCAGAGGAGGAATGTGAAATCTAGCCCAGCGATGAACTGCACGGTGTAAATACGATGCACCTTGCCAGGTCCTCCTGCTGACTGGGGAGATGACTCTTAGCAAAACAATCACATAGACTCATCATGACCTTACTGAGCCATGTGCTAAGTAGGTGCTAATTAAAATCATTATTCAAGGACATGCAGCATGTTCTTCATAGTCCTCACCTGAAATGCTTGGGATGTGTACCCAGAACCTTCCCATAGGGGTCGGCCTGGCCCAGCATCTTGTGTCCTGCTGTGCCACCATCCAGCCCTCTCTGAAGTCATTTGAAACCACAAAGTTTTAAGAGCTAAGTGTCTTCTCATTTATTTTTAAATAATTAATGACAGGGACCAACAGAAATATCATGATCCTAGCAGAGAGAACTCCCGCACCTAAGGGCTGAGCTAGATGTCAGTAGCACTTGGGATTGTCTGGGGAGAGTCAGGGCTGCGGGACCTACTCCCAGCATCAAGCGGGGGTCAGCCAAGGATGTGGTCCAGAAGGGAGCCTGGAGGCACCAGGCAGGGTAACCATTCAGAACCTGGGAGCGGCGACCAGGGATGCACAGACAGAAACCCAGGCGTGTGGGTAGGGCTGACCCAGGACAGAGAACGAGAGCTTGCTCCCTGAGACCTCCAGGACTCAGGCACAAGACAGGCATTTGACCTGGGTCATCTAAGAGGAAGAGTCTGTCCTGTGTCTCCAGGGAGAGAGGTGTGAGCAGGATCCCAGGCTGTCTCCACAGAGACCTAGGTCATTGCAGCAGTGAGATCTGCCTTGCGTGGGGGCAGGGGTGAGGGTGGAGAAGGCAGAGAGCCATGGTAGGAGAAGCTGCGTAAAGATGGGACATTTTGCTTATCCGCGGATGTGACCTGCAATGAAGTCAAGTTGCTCTCATCCCCTCACAGGTCAGCTCAGACACTTCCATCTTGAGAAAGGCAGATCCGAAAGGCCGGAGCGCGCTGTTGGCTGATATCCAGCAAGGAACTCGCCTACGGAAAGTCACGCAGATCAATGACCGCAGTGCCCCGCAAATCGAGAGTAAGTGAGCACTCGGCCAGGCCTGCTGTGAGCCAAGGGCCAGCAGGCGAGTGAGACACAGCCAGAACCCCCTCCCTGCCGAGGCCCACACTTGTCACCCAGAACACAGGCCATCTCAGACCTGTTGAGTGGACAGGCCAGGTGGGCAGGAGTCAGAGCTTCCCTTCAGGACGAGGATAGTTTAGAACATATCTCCCATCACTTTTCAAATACCAGTTAAAAACAAAAGAACTCTACAGTGGGGTAACTGTAGGTGTGACAAAATACATACAACACAAAAGTCACCACTGTAAACATTTTAAAGTGTCCGACCCAGAGGCATTGCAGTCATCAACTCTATCTAGTTCCAGAAGGTTTCCGTCATTCAAAAGAAAAATCCCACACCCATTCATAGTCCCCACCATTCCTCCCAGCTCCCAGGCCATGGCAACCACTCACCTACTGACCCTCTGTCTCCATGGAGGCAGCACGCAGTACGTGACCTATTGTGATTGGCTTCGCTCACTTAGCGTGATGTTTTAAGCTTATCCATGTTGTAGCATCATGGCACATCATTCCTTTTTTAAAAATGGAATATTTCATGTATGGATATGCCACATTTTGTGTATCCTTTGTGGGGTAATGTTAAAAAGTACTCACGCTTGGGAACCAGCAGTTAGCGTAATGGCTATGTCGCTCTGGACTCCCACGTAGTTGACCGCGGTTCGCGTCCCGGACCTGGTGGCTTAAAACTCACGCCGGGCGCGTGTGCGTGCGTGCCCAAGATCCTGAGAGGAGAATGGAGGAGAAGGCATTGCGGCGTGAACATCCCCCCTGGGGGGTGATTTCTCGCTTTCTGTCTCTATGTCTCTCTCTGTCTGTCTGGCGAGCGCACGTGCCCTATAGCAAAAACCTCTCAAAAAAAAAAAAAAAGTAATCACGCTTTGCCAATAGAATTTTCAAACTCACTGAGAGAAAGTGAAGAGCTCACAAGGAATCAGATTCATTCAGAGTTCTCTCCCAGAACCCTAAGACCATAAGCTTCCTGGCTTCTAGAGTATCAAAGAGTAAAAGAAGTCCCAGGCTTGGATCCATTGACCCGTTTAAGTTCTGGTTCTGCTATGAAGCAAATCAAGAAACCTCTTTAAGGCTTAGCTCACTCATCTACTGAATGGAGGAAGTAATAACCTGCTCTTTTGTTGTTTGTTTTTTTGCTCAAGATTCTTGAAGATTGAAATAATAGATGCAGAACTATTTAACAGTGTAAAATTATTACATCTTCCTAAATTTTGTAATGATATACATGATGGCAATCCTCAAAGACAGTCCTAAAAGTATAATTGTGTCACATAACTGTAACTATTTTTGTTCTTTTTTTTTTTTAGAGTTTTTTGCTAAAGGACACGTGTGCTCGCCAGAAAAACAGAGAGAGAGAGAGAGAGAGAGAGAGAGAGAAATCACCTCCCAGGGGGGATGGCCACGCCGCAATCCCTTCTCCTCCATTCTCCTCTTGGGATCTTGGGCATGCACGCACGTGCACCCGGCGTGAGTTTAAACCACCAGGTCTGGGATTTGAACTGCGGTTGACTACATGGGAGTTCAGCTACATAGCCATTACGCTAACTGCTGGTCCCAACTATTTATGTTAATGCACAAGGATAGACTAATTATTTTAAGAAATATTATAAACATTACAATAAAAATTAGTTTCTGGTTTAGACCTGATCTAATGGTTTACTAAGCCCATTAGTTGACATGTAAATATTTTCTCAAAAATATTTAAAACCATACAGTTTCTGTTGTTATAGAGTCACAAACAAAATTATGCAAAAATTATGAGAAATATTTTGAAAAATTACCTTTAAAATTCAATATTTTGAAAATTAGAATGTTGTTTAACTGTCAAGAACTATGGAGTATGAGTTAAAATTTTTTGATAGGTAAAGTAAATGTTTGTGGAAAAATGTAAAAATAAATCTAAAAATGAAAAAAAAAAGAGAGAAAAAAAATGCCCATTTTATTGAAACACCCACTTCCTGATCATTGCAATGAGTGAGTAATATATAATGTTAATCCTCAGAATAATCTGGCCTCTTTTATCCACCAGTGGGCACTGTGCCCTAATTTCTCTGTGCTGTTTAGCTTCAGGACGTAAACATTCCTTGCCAGGAATTCTTGTCTAAGCTGAGCATCTTTTTATTTTCTGTAGGTGGTAATCACACACAGGCTGGCGCTGGCGCTAGTGACGCCTCCCCTAGGGGTGCATGCACTTTCTGTTCCATAGAAGGAAAGGTGCCAGAAAGCGTGAGAGCTCAGGGCCTGAGAGCGGGGGAGACAGGAAGGACAGTGCTAGCACACAAATCAGCATGCACTTTCTGTTCCATAGAAGGAAAGGTGCCAGAAAGCGTGAGAGCTCAGGGCCTGAGAGCGGGGGAGACAGGAAGGACAGTGCTAGCACACAAATCATTGCAGACTCGTACTTGCTGCTTGCCATTCTGGTGAATGCTCTATGAGCAAGAAGTTAAAATAGCTGACTGAATGAAATCCATGGGTGTTCTTTGTCTAGTCCTCCCATAGCCATGCTGAAAATAGAATCCAGTCTACACTTACCACCTTTGGGTTTTCTCATTGGGAAGGTGTGTCCATTTCCCCTACTGGCATCTATAAAATGACAGTATTTGGTCCCCTTTGTTATGGTCACTTTGGGCGTGGCTGACTGCAAGTGGTCAGCCCTTCGGTAGGACTGGTTTGGGTAGCAGACAGGCCTAAGCATGTGAGTCTGCAGGGCATCAAGTCAGAGGGCACTTGGGGAAGATGCTGGAGGGGAAGGGGACATTGAAGGTGGGAGACCAGGAAAACTGACAAGGGCAGGGTCAGACTATGGCCAGGAACAAGAATGACCTGTGCAGTTCTTCTCAAAGTCTTTACCTAATTACCTCTTCTTTCTAAAGCTTCTAAAGGAACCAACAAAGAAGGAGGAGGTGCCCCAAACTCCCGAGGTGCGAGCACACCCCCAGCCCTAGGAGATCTGTTCGCTGGTGGCTTTCCTGTATTGCGACCGGCAGGCCAGAGGGATGCAGCAGGTAAGAAAGATTCCAACTGGCCACCTCGTGGTCTTCATCACCTCAACTTGTGGAACCAACTGGGAAACCCACACGTATCAGGAGGTGGCATGTTTGTAGTGATTGTTCTTATAGCAGGAGATCATATATTTGGGACCATAAGTACTGGAAGTTTCCAAAGCATAGAATTGTTCTGGAGGAATCTTTTAAATCATCATCCTGTTTAAATTATCCTGTTGTAATAACTGAAGGTGACTTAACATCGTATGTAGAATTTAGCAATGGTATGATCATGACCAAGACTGCACAGTATAGACAGAAAATGTAAATAATAATAGGTCACAGTGACATCGCTGTGGATTCACTAACAATGAGTCGCTTGTAGAGGTTCTCAATCATTGTATCGTTTTAGGTACTGCTGCATAACAAAGCTTCCTAAAACTTGGGAGCTTTATGTAACCATTTGTTTGGCCTATAAATGCGTAGTCTTGCAATTTAGCTGGGCTTCATCTGGTTCTCCTCTAGCATCTTCAAGTAACTGCCGGTTGGGTAGCTGTCTTTGATAATTTTATGTTTCTTTTATCTCTTGAGGCCCCCCTGGTATAACTGGTCTATTCCACATGGCCTCTCAGTAGTTAGCAGGAAGTCCAGGTCTTGTTTTCATGGCAGTGGAAGGGTTTTAAGAGGGAAGGCAGGAGTGTATAAGGTCTCTTGGAGTTTAGTCTCAGATGTATTACTAGGAAGTAACTTAAATCTAAAAAGTGTTACTTCTTGTCATATCATCTTGGCAAAAGCATGTCACAAAGCCAGCCCAGAGACAAGGATGGGGAAACTGACTTCATCTCTTAAAGAGAGGAGCTACAGAATCACATTTCAAAGATTACACAATCTTATAGGCATGAGTGTGTCATTGAGGCCATTTTTGCAGTCAGTCTACTCAAGTCACTTTTGTGTTACAAGGCATCAGATGTTTTGAAAATGTTGCATTAAAGTTGGACAAATACATATTTAGTGTGAGCAAAGCTGTTTTTCCTTTAATTGTGTTGCTCAGCCATCAAGCTGAATAAACTCCGGGAATATCATTAATCCCGGAACTATCAAGTCCCAAACATACTGGAACTGGCTCTTCCACCACTTGACTTTCCTAATGGCCTCCATGTCTGTTTAACATGGGTAGATTTGCTGCATTTATCTACTAATCAAGACCAGCAAAAATGAGGGCTCTAAGAACTTTGAAATCCAACTTGAACTTTCTCAGGGGCCAATTTCATTTCATCATTTTTGCTAAGGTCTTCCTCAATGAAGAGAGCAAATGTTCATTAGCACCCTCTTTTTCAAAATACCTGAGTGCTATCGAACAAACATCCTTTTTGGATATTAAATTTTTCTTCACAAAATAAAGATGGTAGAACTATCAGGTTTTTGTTCTTTTTTTTTTTCTTGTGGTTTTGTTTTGTTTTTCCCTAC